GGAGTGACAGTGTGCCGTGTCCTCTCAGGCACGCTCCCGCCGCGGGCTGTGGTGCAGGGGGGGACACTGCGTTTCGGCGCCGTGGAACCCGCCGACGAGGGGCACTACGCATGTCGAGCGCGCAGCAGCGCCGGGCAGCATACGGCACGGGCCTTCCTCCGCGTGCAAGGTGAGTGTTGTCCCCAGTGTCCCTGTCACCCCCTTGTCCCCATCTTCCCCATCGTCATCATGTACATCATCACTGTCACCTCCCATCATCCGCATCCTCCATTTCCATCAGCCCCGTTGTCCCCACCAGCCCCATTGTTGGCATCACCCCTGTCACCCCCATCATCACCACCCTCATCAGCCCTGTCATCCCCATGACCCCCACATCATCCTCATCATCTCTGTCACCACCGCCTCCATCATCTCCTTCATCCCCCATTGTCTCCATCATCCACATCACCTGCCTCATTCATGTCACCCCTGTCATTGTCCCCACCATGCCCCATCAGCCCCCTGTGCCACCCTGACCCCCCACTTCCCGCAGCAGCCGGCACACCCCAGGTGCAGGTGAGCCCGGAGCGGACGGAGGTGCAGGAGGGCTCCACGGTGCGACTCTACTGCCGGGTCTCGGGGTCACCCACTGCCACCATCACCTGGGAGAAGCAGGGGGGAACCCTACCGCCGCAGGTGAGTGGGGTGCCGGCACCCTTGGGTGCTCCCAGGGGGGTGTGGGTGCACTGTGGGTGCTGCTCACACCCACCCTCATGCCGCAGTCCCGTGCCGAACACGCCGACATCGCCACGCTGGTCATCCCTGCTGTGACAGTGGCCGACGGTGGCATCTACCTCTGCGTGGGCACCAGCGCCGCTGGCACGGCCCGCGCCGCCATTGAGGTGGCAGTGGTGCCAGGTGAGGCGGGTGGGGGACACCAGCAGGGTTCGGGGACAGTTTCAGGGGGGCTGCAACCCACCCGTGTCCCCCCTTTTCCTCCTTGCAGGGACAGCACCACCCGTCCGCATCGAGTCCTCGTCCCCATCCGTCACCGAGGGACAGACGCTGGACCTCGACTGCGTGGTGGCAGGATCCAGCCCTGCCACCGTGACGTGGTACAAGCGTGGCAGCTCCCTGCCCACCGGCCACCAGGTAGGGTGCAGGCAGCGCGGGCAGCACCCTGAATCCTGCCCTGTCCCCTGCGATGTGACACTGATGCATGTCCCCAACCCCAGGTTTCAGGGTCCCGGCTCCGTGTCCCCCATGTCACGGCAGCTGATTCAGGCGAGTACGTGTGTCGGGTGAGCTTGGGGACCACTGTCCGGGAGGCGTCTGTCATTGTCACTGTCGTGGCCGGATCTGGTTCGTCCTACGGTGAGACGGGGCTCGGTGGCACTGGGGGGGACATGCTGGTCACAGACAGGTTGTCACAGCTCTGTCTTCCCCCCCAGGGCCACCAGCTTCCGGTGTCCCCGTCCGGATTGAGGCATCCTCATCCACGGTGGCTGAGGGACAAAGTCTGGACCTCAACTGCCTGGTGGCTGGGCAGGGACAGGCCACTGTCACCTGGTACAAGCGTGGGGGGGCCCTCCCGGCCAAGCACCAGGTAGGGGACAACGGAGGGTCATGTGCCCAAGGCGGGTGGTTGGGGTTGATTCACAGACCCATGTAAGCTTGGGTGGCCTCCTGTCAACCCAGGTGGCCCTGTGCAAGCCCATGTGGCCCATGCAAGCCCAACTGGCACTTTTGCAAGCCCAAGTGGCTCTATGTAAGCCCAGATGGCACTTGTGCAAGCCTGAGCAAGCCCAGTGTCCCTCATACAAGCCCAAATGGCCCCGTGCAAGCCGCAGCATCCCCACGGAAGCCCAAATGGCCCCCGTGTCCCCTCCCTGCAGGTGTCCGGCTCCCGGCTGCGGCTGCTGCAGGTGACAGCAGCCGACTCGGGCGAGTACGTGTGCCGGGTGACCAGCGGGGCCACCACCAAGGAAACTGCTGTCATGGTGACAATCCAGCCCAGCAGTGCCAGCGCCTACCGTGAGTGGGGACAGGGGGGTGACAATGCCACAGCAGCGGGTCCCCATGTGCCACAGCACTGAGCCAGCTCTCCCATGCCCGTGCTGGCAGCGCTCTGCTGTGGTCACTGGTGTCACCCTCTTGTCTCGGTCCCCAGCACCGGGCAGCGCGACTCCCCTGCGCATTGAGTCGCCGTCCTCTGCCGTGGCCGAGGGCCAGACCCTGGACCTCAACTGCGTCATTGCCAGCCCCACACAGGCCACCGTCACCTGGTACAAGCGCGGCGGGTCCCTCCCGGCCAAGCACCAGGTAGGGGACGTGGAGGGGGATGTCCCCAAGTTGGGTGGTAGGGATTGACCCACAGCCCTGTGCAAGCCTGAGTAGCCCATGTAAGGCCAGGTGGCCCCATGCAAGCTCTGGTGGCCCCAGGCAAGGTTAGGTGGCCACATGTAAGCTCAAGTGGCCCCGTGCAAGGTCAGGTGGCCTGTGCAAGCCCAGGTGGCCCATGCAAGCTTGGGTGACCCCACGGAAGCTGCGGTGGTTTATGTAAGCCCACGTTGCCCCATGCAAGCCCAGGTGGCCCATACAAGCTCAAATGGCCCTGTGCAAGCCCCAGCAGCCCCATGGAAGCCCAAATGACCCCTGTGTCCCCTCCCCGCAGGTGTCCGGCTCCCGGCTGAGGCTGCTGCAGGTGACAGCGGCTGACTCGGGCGAGTACGTGTGCCGGGTGACCAGCGGTGCCACCACCAAGGAAACCTCCATCATGGTGACGATCCAGCCCAGCAGTGCCAGCGCCTACCGTGAGTGGGGACGGGGGAGGTTACCCATGGGTGTGTGGCACTGCCCTGCAGTGTCCCCACATCTGGGATGAATCGTTCCCTGGGGAAGCCACCCATGGGTGTGCCCATTCCGGCTTCCTGAGCTCCTGGTGTCCCTTGGAGGGTCACATGTGGTGGTGGCCACAGTCTATAACCCATCTTGGTCCCCAGCCCCGGGCAACACGACCCCCTTGCGCATCGAGTCCTCGTCCTTGTCATCCCCTGTGGCCGAGGGCCAGACCCTGGATCTCAACTGCGTCATCGCCAGCCCTGCACAGGCCACTGTCACCTGGTACAAGCGCGGCGGGTCGCTCCCGGCCAAGCACCAGGTAGGGGACATGGAGGGGGATGTCCCCAAGGGGGGTGATTGGAGTTAACCCATGGCTCTGTGCAAGCCCAAGTAGCTCAGGTGGCCCATGCAAGCCCAGGTGGCCCCATGGAAGCCCATGTGACCTCATGCAAGTCCATCTGTCCCCATGCATGCCCAGGTGGCCGATGCAAGCCCAAGTGGCTCCATGCAAGCCCAGGTGGCCCTGTGCAAGCTTGAGTGGCCTTGTGCAATTGCAAATGGCCCTGTGCAACTGCTGATGGCTCTGTGCAAGCTCAGGTGGCCCCTGTGACCCCTGTGTCCCCTCCCTGCAGGTGTCCGGCTCCCGGCTGCGGCTGCTGCAGGTGACAGCAGCTGACTCAGGCGAGTACGTGTGCCGGGTGACCAGCGGGGCCACCACCAAGGAAATCTCCATCATGGTAACAATCCAGCCCAGCAGTGCCAGCGCCTACCGTGAGTGGGGACCAGGAAGTGACAGGGGACTGGGGGACCATGCCATGGTCCTTGGGGTGACCCTCCCATCTCTGTCCCCAGCCGTTGGTGTCACCCCCCCGGTGCGCATCGAGTCTTCGTCCTCCTCCGTGGCCGAGGGCCAGACCCTGGACCTCAACTGCATCGTGGCCAGGCAGGGTCAGGCCACCGTCACCTGGTACAAGCGTGGCGGGTCCCTCCCAGCCAAGCACCAGGTAGGGGACACCAGATAAGCATTTTGGGGTGGAAAAGGGATTTTGGGGGGGGTTGAGGGCTTTGTGTTCTCTTTCTCACGTGTCACTCCCCCAGGTATCAGGCACCCGCCTGCGCATCCCCCAGGTGACGGCGGCTGATTCGGGGGAGTACGTGTGCCGGGTGACATCAGGCGGTGTCACACATGAGACGTCCCTCATTGTCACCATCCAGACCGGCGCTGGCTCCTCTTACGGTACTGGGATGGGTGGGAGGTGACATGGGGACACGATGGGGCCATGGTGCCTGCCCTACTGATCCCATTGCCACTCCCAGCCGTCGGTGTCACGCCACCAGTGAGAATTGAGACCTCATCCGCCACCGTCACCGAAGGACAGACCCTGGACCTCAACTGCATGGTGGCAGGACAGGGTCACCCCCACGTCACCTGGTACCGGCGTGGGGGGGCTCTGTCCCCCAACAGCCAGGTGGGACGCTAGGGAGGTGGCATCACCCTGCAGGGCACAGCTCCACGTCAGACACTGATGTGTCCCCAACTTGTCACCTCCGCAGGTGTCAGGGACCCGCCTGCGCCTTGTCCAGGTGTCGGTGGCTGATTCAGGGGAGTACGTGTGCCGGGTGACCCTGGGGACCGTCACACAGGAGGCATCTGTCATTGTCACTGTGCCCGGTGGAGCTGGCACCTATTACCGTGAGTGCAAGCAAGAGGGAAGCGCTTGGGGACAGAGGGTGCCACCGTCATGACAAATGTCCCTTTTCCCTGTCCTCCCCCAGCCTCCGGCGTCTCCCAGCCCCTCCGCATCGAGTCCTTGTCGTCGGCCATCGCTGAGGGACAGATCCTGGACCTCAACTGCGTAGTGGCGGGATCCGGCCCCTCCACCGTGACGTGGTACAAGCGCGGTGGCTCCCTGCCCGCTGGCCACCAGGTAGGGTGCAGAGTGGGGTCACCCTAAATCTGTCCCATCCCCTGATCTCTGGTGCTGACTTATCCCCAAATTGTCCCCTCCAAGGTGTCGGGCACCCGCCTGCGCATCCCCCAGGTGACAGCAGCCGATTCGGGGGAGTACGTGTGCCGGGTGACATCGGGCGGTGTCACGCAGGAGACATCCCTTGTCGTCACCATCGATGATGGAGCCAACCCATCCCACCGTGAGTGCCACCCTTCGGGGGGTGGGTCCTGGTAGGTGACAGGGACCCGTGGGGACGTTTACCCTTCACTGCCCACGCAGCCACCGGCGTCACGCCGCCTATCCGCATCGAGTCCTCGGCATCCTCTGTCACCGAGGGACAGACCCTGGACCTGGACTGCGTGGTGGCCAGCCAGGGACAGACCACCATCACCTGGTACAAGCGTGGTGGGTCCCTCCCAGCCAAGCACCAGGTAGGTGGGGACACCAGCGGGGTGAGGGATGGTGGCCATGGGTGGTTTGGTTGATGCCACCATGCCCTGCCATCATGTCCCCAGGTTTCAGGGTCCCGCCTGCGGCTGTCACAGCTCTCGGTGGCCGATTCAGGGGAGTATGTGTGCCGGGCAGACACGGGCAGTGTCTCCCGTGAGGCTACCATCACTGTCACCGTCAGCTCCCGTGACAGCTCCAGCTACCGTGAGTGTGGCTACAGGGTGATAGAGGACGCCGGGGAGGGAGATGGGGGACATGGGTGACTGGTGGCTTCTCTGTCCCTTTGTCCCTGCAGGTCTGCAGAGCCCCATTATCTCCATTGACCCGCACAGCATGGCAGTGGCACCGGGCGAGGATGCCACCTTCAAGTGCCGTGTCCATGACGGTGCCCGGCCCATCAATGTCACTTGGCGGATGGGACCTGGACAACATCTCCAAGGTATGGTGGTCCCCAGGGTGGCCCCGGCGTGGTCCCCAGGGTGGCCCTGGTGTCAACAGCTCCTTCTTGCCCAGACAACGTGAAGATCAGCACCAACGGTTCGGTCATATCCATCACCGGTGCCCACGTGGGCAACCAGGGTGCCTACCACTGCGTGGCCTCCAACCGCTTCGGTGTCGCCAGCAGCGTCGTCAACCTCCTGGTGCAAGGTGCGAGGTGGCCGGAGTGGCTCTGTCCCTGTCCCCATGCACTTCAGATGCCTCTGGCATGGTGGTGTCCCCGTCACCATCTCTATGTTGGTGTCTCCCCTGTGCTCCAGATGCCCCTGGGGTGGTAGTGTCCTTGTCCCTGTCCCCATGCTGGTGTCCTCTGTGTGTTCCAGATGTCCCCGGGGTGGTGCTGTCCTTATCCCCATGTCCTCTCCATGCTTCAGGTGCTCCTGGAGTGGTGGTGTCCCTATCCCCACGCTGATGTCCTCCCCCTTCTCCAGGTGCCCCCACGGTGTCGGTGATGCCACCAGGCCCCGTGACAGTGAAGGAAGGCAAATCCCTCAGCCTGGAGTGCCTTGGCCGGGGCGAACCGCGGCCGCTGGTGCGCTGGAGCCGGTTGGGCTCCCGGCAGAAGGTGGAGCACCAAACGCTGCTGCACATGGACAGCCAGGCCATCCTGCAGGTCAGCAGGGCACCCTGGGGTGCTGTGGGGCGCCGGTGGGTGCGCAGGGCTCACCACCCACCCTGGCCCCTCTCCACCAGCTCTCACCGGCCAAGCCGGAGCACGCCGGGACCTATGTCTGCACGGCACACAGCGCCTTGGGTTCGGCGCAAGCCCGGGTGGACGTCAATGTGGAGACGGCCCAGCGGCACCCCGGTGCCCCTGAGGTCACTGCACCACCCACTGTCACCGTGGTGGCCGGGGACACCGCCACACTGCACTGCATGGCCAGAGGTACGGGGAGGATGAAGGACGGTGGCAGGGGAGGGTTCTACAGCTGTGGCACCCTGATGCCACGGTGATGGGCACCTGTGTTGTCTGTAGGCGAGCCGGCACCCCGGATCGAGTGGTCGAAGCTGCGGGCACCCCTGCCCTGGCAGCACCAGGTGGTGAACGGCACCTTGGTCATCCCCCGCGCCGCGCAGCAGGACTCGGGCCAGTACATCTGCAATGCCAGCAGCCCCGCCGGCTTCGCTGAGGTCTTCGTCACCCTCGACGTGGAGTGTAAGGGGGTGGGGGGGGTTGGGGTGCCCCTGGGTCCCTCCTGCCATCTCCACTGTTGCCATCACCCATCCTTGGCTCCTCTCTGTCCTTCCTCTGCACGTGGCCATCTCCATCGCCGTTCCCGCTCCCCCATCCAGCGCTTCCTCGTGGATCCATCCTCGCTCCATCCCAGCACTCATCCTCATTCCATCTCCTCTCGAGCTCTATCATCCAGCCCTTCCCATGGGTGTGTCCTTCCGCTTGTCCCGTCCCCATGCACATCCGTCTCTACTGCTCTCTCCTCCATCCATCCCCTGTTCATGGATCCATCCATCGCTCACCCATCCCCGCTCACACCCATCTCTCCATCTCCTCTCACACCCCTCCATCAACCTCTTCCTCATGGACCCACCCATCTCTTGTCCATCCCAGCTCACACCCATCTCTCAAACTTCTCCATCCACCCTTTCCTTGTGGATTCATCCATCGCTCATCGTACCAGCTCACATCCACCTCTCCATCTCCTCACACCCCTCCATCCATCCCTTCCTGGTGGATTCATCCATCTCATCCATCCCTGCACACACCCATCTCTCCATCTCCTCCCAAGCTCCTCCATCCATTGATCCATCCATCCATCCATTGACCCATCTCCTCCTGCCTTCCATCGCTCACCCATCCCAGCTCACGTCACCCTCTCCAGCTCCTCTCAAGCTCCTCCATCCATTCCTTTCTGGTGGATCCATCCATCACTCCTCCAGCCCAACTCACATCCATCTCTCCATCTCTTAACTCCTCCACCCATCCCTTACCTCGTGGATCCATCCATCTCTGGTCCATCCATCTCCACCCCACCCTCCCACCGATGATCTCCTTGCCCTGTTGACCCATTCATTGCTCCATCCCGGCCGTGGCTGAGTACTGACGGTACCGGCTGTCCCCGCAGCACCGCCATATGCCACCAGCCTGCCGGAGGAGACGGCGGTGCGCGCCGGCGACGCGCTGCAGGTGCAGTGCCTGGCCCACGGCACCCCGCCACTGCTCTACGCTTGGAACAAGGTCAACGGCAGCCTCTCAGCACGCGTCATCCACCGCGCCGGCCTCCTCCGCATCAGCCCGGCGCTGCCCGCTGATGCCGGCACGTACCGCTGCCTCGTCACCAACCGTGTTGGCACCGCTGAGACCTTTGCCCACGTGGTTGTCCACGGTGAGCCCCGCCCTGCCACGGGGCTGCCACGCGCCGGGGATGCCTGTGCCACCGGGTACCATCAGGGTTTTGCATCCTGCCCAGGTGACGCCGGTGACGGTGGGGACGCCAGCGGTGGTCCCTTGACAGTGCGGGTGACACCGGGGACCCTCATCAAGGGGGTGGGTGGCACCGCCGAATTCGCCTGCACTGTCTCCGGAGACCCCCGGGCACGTCTGGAGTGGCTGAAGGACGGTGGGGAGCTGCCCCCCACCCACACTGTGCGGGATGGGGTGCTGAGGTAAGGAGAGGGGGACAGGGCGGTGGGATCCCCCCTGCCTGCGCCCCCCGTGGGGTCCCACACCCCGGCTGTGTCCCCGCAGGATGCCGGAGCTGGCGTGGGGGGCGCAGGGGGTGTACGTGTGCCGGGCCAGCGCCCCTGGCGGGCAGGCGGAGGACAGGGCCACCCTCACCGTCCAGGGTAGGAGTGACACCCGTACACCACGGGACGCAGGCACCCCCTGACCTGTCCCCCAGGAACACTGGCACCCTGGGAGCCCCCATCTCCCCAAACCCAGGGGTGCCTGTGACCCACCCCCTCATGTCCGTGGGCACCTTGGGACCTCACATCTCCCCGCACCCATGGGCACCCTGGTACTCCCCATTTCTCCCCACTTCTCAGAGGGCACCTCGGTACCCCCTGTCTCTCCCAACACCCCTGGGCACCCCAGTACCCCAAATCTCTCCCCATGCCCACAGGGACCCCAGTACCCCCAAATGCTACCCATGCCAATGGGCACACCAGTATCTCCCACTTGTCCGCATGCCCCTGGGCACCCAAACACCCCCAGTCTCTCCATATGCCTGTAGGCACCCCAGTACCCTCAATCTCTGCCCACACCCATCAGCACCCTGGTGCACCCCATATCTCCACATGCCTGTGAGTACCCCGATACCCCCAGTCTCTCCCCATGCCCATGGGCACACCAACACCCCCAGTCTCTCTCCATACCTATGGCCACCCCAGTGGTCTCCCCATGCCCATGAGCACCTCGTTTCTTCCCACCTCTCACTCCTCTGATTGGCACCCCAGACTGCAATGTCTCCCCCATACCAGGAGGGCACCCCAAAACCCCCCTGTCCCCTCTAAGCTCTCCCCAGGGCCCTGATCAACATCCGGACGGCAGTGCAGACGGTGCTGGCAGGGACGGCAGTGGAGCTGGAGTGCCTGGGTTTGGGTGAACCCCGTCCCCACGTCACCTGGAGCAAAGTGGGGGGCCGTATCCGCCCCGGGGTGCTGGTCCGTGCCGGCACCCTCACCATTGAACGGGTAGAACGGGCGGATGCCGGGCAGTACCGCTGCACCGCCACCAACGCTGTGGGCACCGTCCAGTCCCACGTCATCCTCCATGTGCAAGGTGAGGGTGGGGACATGGAGATGGGGACGTACAGGTGGTGGCACCGCAGGGTGGTGACACCTTCGTGTGTCCCCAGCCGCCCCCCAAATCGCCGGGCAGCCAGAGGTGAAGGAGGTCTCGGTGGGTTCGGCGGCTGTTTTGCCCTGCTTGGCATCCGGCTTCCCAGTGCCGGAGATCACCTGGAGCAAGGTGAGATGGAGGGATGCAGGGATGGGGGTGCAGGGGATTGGGGGACACCCTGTGTGTGCTGATTGCTCTGCTGCAGCTGGAGGGAGAGCTGCCGGCGGGTGCCAGGGTGGAGGGGAACATCCTGACGCTGCCGGCCGTGCACCACGAGGATGCTGGCGTCTATGCCTGCGCTGCCGCCAACCGCCGCGGCCAGGAGACAGCTTACTACGTCCTCAAGGTCCGAGGTGAGGACGGACAGATGGACAGATGGACGGAGAGGGTCGAGGGGGCAATGTACCCCCACCCCTCCTGACCCACCCTTCCCCACAGACCGCCTGGTCCCCTATTTCGGGCAGACACCCCACTCCTTCCTCCCCCTGCCCACCATCAAGGATGCCTACAAGAGGTTCGAGATCCTCATCACCTTCCGACCTGATGCTGCTGACGGTGAGCACCAACGGGACCCCCATGTCCCCCCATGTGTCCCCCCCCATGTCCCCTCCATCATTTCCTCCTCCCTTCGCTCGCCCTCCCTTCCTCCCTCCCTCTCTCCACCCTTCCCTCTCCCTCCTTTAACTCTCCTTGATTCAACTAAGCTCTCCCCCAACTTGTGGAGGGGTTTCTCCTCCATCCTGGGCGTATTTTGGGGTCCCCATGGATGTGCCCCCACCCTCCCTGCCCGCGGTGGGC